CACATTAGGCACCAGCAGAAGCCACACAGAGAGGCTGCTGAGCATGAAACTGCTCACAGGCTGCCTCTGAACTATAAACCACACCTATTAGAGATCCAGAGACAACATTCATACATCCAACGTGGGAGACATAACACAGACAGAAATGGGTTTTCATCCATTAATAAATGCAAACAATCCCAAAATGAGCAGTAGAAAACAGATTTAAAAATTAAGCTGCAGGGATTTAGATGTGATGCTTAGATAGCATGACCAGGATTGTGGTTTGTTTGTATCCATCTATCCATCCATTATCTTTTGCCCGCTTTTTCCTTTTCGGGTCGCAAGGGTCAATGGTGCCCATGCCCAGTTCACTGACCGGTCCAAGTCCATCACAGGGACACATAGAGTCAAACGAGGCAAACAACCATTCACTCTCTCACTCACACCTAGGGGCAATTTAGAATTACCAGTCAGCCTAACATGCATGTTTCTGGTCTGTACAGGGAACCGGAGTACCCGGAGAAAACCCACGCATGCACGGAGAGAACATGCAAACTCCCGGCTGGGATTTGATCCAGCATCCTTCTCGCTGAGAGGCGGCAGCTCTATCACCAGCACCACCCAGTCAAGTATATAATTACCGGTATGCCTTTCTCTAATTTAAGCAACATAGTATTTTAACAGTTGGGACTGGGCTGTATTTTCTTTGCTGCATCACCTCTATTATTTGATAAGCAAACCAGTTACCACCCATGCAGTACCATGCTGGGTTTTTGGTAAATGAGCCCAATCCAGATGGTCCTTTCTCCTCTTTAGCCTTGAAGATGCAACATCTATAATTATGAAAAACTGTGTCAATTTTTGACTGAAGCATGTTGAAAGCAATTAGTTGTTAAGATGATTGAAATCAAAACGTTTTCAAAATTCCCTTTTTAATATTGGGTATTTTTTAGTATTCTCACATGAGCACTGAATGAGTGCTACTGTTGAAGTATAACTGAAGTGTTAAAAAGGTACAATAAGCAAAACAAAAAAATCAACTAAACTGCAGTTCAAAGCTTAACTTAAATAAAAAAGTAGCTAAAAGATAAACTAAACAGTAGCTAACAGCTACAATAGCAGCAGAATAAAACAAAAATAGTAGATTGTAGTAGATTTCATAGAACAATGTTTTAAACGAACTGAATAGATCTCAAGATATTTTTTAGTGGGAAAAGTTTCCTAAATAAACTTAAATATTTTAAACAGTATCAAAGCTACAAGTACTTAAAGTCAAAGCGCACCATTTGTAACAGAGTTGACCGTTTTGGTATAAGAATTGTGGAAATTGTACAAAACACTTGGAAGTACTTTGAAAAAAAAAAACACAGAAGAAATTATAAACACAAAAAACAATGGTGACTTTATAAAAACACAGAACGTTCAAAAGTCTTGTATTTAATCCTTAAAAGAGAGAGTGTGTAAATCTACAGGGTGGAGACCAAAGCAAACCACAGTGTTGCACAAAGCAGCCAAAGCTTTTCCTCAACAAACATGGCGGACTCCCAGATCTTGCCATTCATGCACTCCCAATAACCCCAATGAGTGTGGGTGGATGGGTGAGCCGCCACACTCACAAAACCACTTCCTGGCCTTGTATAACCAGTGGCATCTACACTGGAGAGCAGACCATCCCTGAGTTGAACATAATAAGACACTGGAGCAATGAAACGGAGGACACTCCATCCTCACCTTCATAATAAAAAGTATCCCAAGGTCCCACAGTATGTCTGAAACAGCCCAACTGGTGAGGATGGAGACAGAATATAAGTTTAGAGACACACCGGCGGTGGGCCGTGTGGATCAGAAGGGATGGATGTAGAAAGCAGATGTGCTCTGTGCCCATACTGAGAGCAGCAAGCGCAGGAACAACACAAGGGCTTTGGGATGAGTTTTGTGCCGACTGCTGTGCAAGCGTGTACAGCATTTTTAGAGCCTCTAAAATCACATCATCCTATAAATCTGTGATGCACACGCAGCAAAACGCTTCAGCACCGGACCTCGGATGATCCAAGCAGAGGAACAAAGGAGGGCTTTGTTTCTGTGCAGCATGCAGTCCTGCTAAAATGTTACAGTAGATGCCTGAAAATATCTTAAGCTGCGCCACCTTTTGTTTATCCGTTTGTTGTACAAAGACACGGAGTTCACAGAAATCTCTAAAACTTCTAACGCCAAGAGCTCATCTAAATGATGACCCTGAAACCGTTTGCCTTCAGCTTTGTGGCAAAATAACAACAACGCGCAAACTTCAGTGTTTGTCAGAAGAAAAAAGTGGTCTTTTTCAAAAAAAACTTATCAATTTCACACTTTAAATAAATATAATGTGATGAGTAGTCTGGGGAATGTTAGTGTAACTGAATCTACTATAAGGTGTATTGCAGAGTGAGAGGAACTAAAATAATCTGAAAGCTTAATTTTAGATTGGATTTAAAAATATATTTATTTAACACGGCAAGTGTTGCTTAAGCCGTTAACGAGACTTCAAAAACTATGAATTTTATTGACCAATATCCTGGTATAGAGCATCAAAAATAAACTAAAATCATCTTGCAAACACATTTTAGAGGCTAAATAAGGGGCTCAAACACACAGACGGTGTATCCCTGGCAGAGGGAACATAAGCTGCTTTCACAGCTCCTCATTGAAATGCTACACACTGGTTCCAGTGTGGCTTTGAGAGAGACCGGACACACAGAACAAGAGGAAAGTCCACGTTTCCGAAAGAGGATCATTAACATTGGCAACAAAGTCAGAGACAAATTAATCTTGTATGTGAACCAGCTTAGAGCAATTTACAGAGCTAAGGAAGTGAATATTGTTGCTGTGAAAGAACAGGAAAGTCTTTATCTTTGAAAACAAAATAGACTAAAGAATTATAAGAGGTTTATATAGGAATAAGTCCAAATTTAAAGATAACTTCAAGAGTCAACAATCTTTATATTTTCCTAAGATGAAACTCCTTAAAGGTTCTGATGAATCAACAGAAACTTGACTGAAAGAAAACTAAAGAATTATCATTTTCTACGCACATGCAGTGTGAATGCTGAGCGCTAATTGACTGTGCCAACATCAGCTGAAGATGCTGAAACCAAGCTCCAAAAAGAGCAAAATACTAGCTAAAAGGAGGAGCATATAGCCAAATGTGTTACATGGCTATCTAGAAGCTAAAAGTAGTAAAGAAAATTAAAGCAATGAGCAGACTTCAAAAGACGATAATTTCAAATGAACTGAAGCAATCCTGATGTACGTCTATGAAGAAAAAAAATAGTGAATAAAGTTAGATGTTTTGAAAAACATAAACGTTTCTAAAACCAAAGAACATAGAAGACCAACTTCTGAATCAGCTGTTTTCATTAACTAAGACAGCAGATATGCAGAAGCCAATAGAGTGAAGGAGAAAAAAACAATTTAACAAACATAAGTGAATTTTGAAATCAGCATTCACACAAAGTAACACAACACCTACGAAATACGTCTGAGGAAATAGCTTCATAATGGTTGGTTCAGACTGATCTGCACCTGCATTAAGGGTCATGTGACAACATGCATGAACTTGTTTGGCAGGTCTGAGTTCAGGACTCTTCAGACACTAGATCAGACTGTTCTGACAGCAGATCAATATGATGGAGTGAGCCTGACCTCCCAGGGGGGGTTAGCTGTAGCTGGGTTTTCCTGTGACATGAATGATAAACAACACAATCCAACGGTGACACATTCAATGACTTTATGGAGTGAAGAATGGGAGATTCCAAGAGGAGGAGGAGACATGGAATCAATACTTGGACTTGTGGTCCACACTGCACCATTAACATTCTTTAAGCACTCTCCTACCATTCAGTTGTCCACAGCCGCCCCTGATCCATCACTTTATTTGATTGTCACTCTTTCCTGTTTCTAACTAAATGACTTGCAAAAGAGAAAGGCAGCACTAAAACCAACAAAATCAGCTGACACGAGAACCAACAGGTGAGAGAACGTAGAAGGAACAGGAGCATGATCTACTAAAAACAAGATTAAAGTAGACTGCAAGTAAAAATAATTAGAGGTTAGACTGGAAGTCATGGGCTGCTGACAAACGGTGGCTAATATGAAGCAGATGCTGATGGGAGCTTTGCAGGAAAGAAAACATGCAGCTTTTAAAAGCCAAAACTGCAGCGGAGAGAAATAAATACACGAGCTTTGACCCATATCTCAACTTTAGGATACAGGCAGTGGTGTAGTCTACACAGTACATGAGCATACGGAGTATATCCACTAATAGAGCTTAAAATTTTCAGTATACCCATGAAAAAGTGCCCAATGATACATGCCATATCATTAGGCATGTGTCATTGAAGCGTTAAATGCTTCTGTAACAATATATCTGTATGCACTTGTTTATCACATTCACTTATCCAGCAAATTATTGTAGTATTAATACTTCAGTACTTTTAATACTTGAACATGTTTTGCTTTGATACTGTTTTATAAATTGTATAACATGTTTTTAATACAAAGCCAACTGTTGTACAAAGTTTGTTGTTGTTCATTTATTCAAATAAAAGCTTTAGAGAAATCTGGAAACGTTCAATACGCTTAAAAATCTGAATAAATTGACGATTACATTGTACTAACCAGTGTACTTTGGTTTATAATCACAGTATACCCACTACAAATATGTAAACTACACCAGAGTTTGAAAATCCCCAGCAGGTCTGACTGTCCATCAGCCTGCAGCCAAAAACGGCACCATGAAAGCAGGTCAAAGTGATCACACCGGTGGAGATCCATCAATTTAGAGCATTTGAAGACAGTTTGACCTCAGAGCTACAACAGCTCACAGGTCCTTGTGAGGTCACTGAATGGGGGAAGTTGTTTGCAGCACTGGGAGCTTCACAGCTTACTGGTGAAACATACAAACCCTCAAAGCAGATCTGAAGTGACGCAGTCAAGAGTGGTGGACAGAGTCAACATGGTGTGCGTTTGTGTTGGAGACATACCTGTGCGTCCTGGAGCTCGCTCCTTCTGAACTTCCCTCTGCGGATCTCCATCTCCAGAGCAGAGCCGCGGGCAACCGTGGCTCTCGCCGTTTGATTTCGGCAAAACATCTCCCACTTTATTGCTTTAATGACTCCTGACAAACTTTCTCAGAACACAGGGGTCCGGGTCCACAAGAACTCCAACAAAAACCGAGCGCAAAAGGGTGGAGCTGCTTCACAAACTTCCCAGACGAGCAACAGCTCCACCGGCGGAAACAGGGAAAGACCCTCCAAAGAGATTTCGTCTCGACAGAAACACATTAGCGTTCCTCCAAACTGAGCCAAGTTCCCTGCCTATGTGGGGGGAGACGAGCAGGGTCTTCATTCACAGCTGATTTCCATTTGTCTAAACTGGGTCCTGACGCGGAGACGCTCCATGTGGTGCGCAGCTGAGACTGTCTGTCCTTCATCTGGAGACCTCTGCCGGTGATGAACAGCAGTAATGTGCCTTGTGCACGCTTGTTAATGAGGGATTCAGCAGGAATTATGAGGCATTAACCTCCTGGATGAAGACTGGGCTGCCACTCTTTAAGATTGAATGTAATATGAAAGAAATCAGTGTCTGCAGAAATGAATTTTCAGAAAGTTACAAGAACTTTTTTAGGGGAACCACTGAATGGCTTTAGGAGTCTGCAGATAGTGCATGAATGAAAGTAAAACTGCACCATGCGGAACTAATTAATTTAAAAAAAGGGAATAAATGTGACGGGGCAGCACGGTGGCGCAACTGGTAGAGCTGCTGCCTCTCAGCGAGCAGGTCCCTGGTTCAAACCCCGGTCCAGGGGCCTTTCTGGGTGGACTTTGCATGTTCTCTCCGTGCATGCGTGGGTTTTCTCCGGGTACTCCGGTTTCCTCCCACAGTCCAAAAACATGCATGTTAGGCTGATTGGTAACTCTAAATTATCCCTAGGTGTGAGTGAGAGAGTGAATGGTTGTTTGTCTCGTTTGTCTCTATGTGGCCCTGTGATGGACTTGCGACCCGTCCAGGGTGTACCCCGCCCCTCGCACAGTGATTGCTGGACATGGGCACCAGCGACCCCCGTGACCCAAAATGGAATAAACGGGTAAAGAAAATGGATGGATGGATGGAATAAATGTGACCTCCAAACTCATCTAAGGCAGACTGACTGTTGATGTGTACAATAACAATCAGAACCACCTGCTATTTTATTTGTGCATCATTCAAAGGCAATGGAGGTTCCTTATTACACAAAACGTGAATAATTTGCACATATTTGAAGGTGCATTTGTTACAAAATGATTTAGTTACACACGTATTAGAGAAACTTTTGCTGTCTACATTGTCTACAGGGAGTGGTTTGCTTATTTCAGCAAGACAGCGTCGCTTCAAACTGACCTGCCTTCACTCCTGTGACCACTGACCACTTGAAAACATTTACAGTATTGTGATAAAAATAATAAAAAAAAAAACACAAGATTGGTTCAAATATGTTATAAAGGCCACAACGTTTAATTAGAATAAGTGAAAATGATCAAGGTGAGCCTCTTTTCAAGGATTCAAGGCTCTTTATTTGTCGTTCACACCACATGTGGTACATGTGGTGGAACGAAATTGTGTACACAGGGTCCCAGTTACATTCAACAAAAGTATTAAAATGTTAAAGAAAAACAGTAATAAGATCTAAGATATGATCTAAAACAAATGTTAATAAAAATACACTAAGCACTAGTAGCATAAAATAGCATAAAAACAATACGTCGAACAGCAGCAGGTCTGTGTGAGCAGATGAGCATGAATGAACACAGCAACATGAAATAGATCAGCAGCAGCATGGTGGGATTTTTTACACTTTGGAACAGCTTTATGGACAATTTTCAAACAGTTTTCACCGTTTAGAAGCTTAGAAACACATGCAAACTTTTAAAATAGTTTATTTTGTGCTATTTTCATTTAAACAGTGTCAATATGTGAATTATGACTGACAGAATGTTCTGTTTTATCCTTCATCAGTGAATGAGGCCATGCATCTTAACCTTTCATTATTTGCTCCTGTTTGGCCTCAGAATGGTTTTAATTTCCTCAGTACCAGTAAAGCATCCGGTTTATGGGGTTGAAAATGAGACGGAGTTAGCTTTGCTCTCATTGTTGAACATTTTTATTTATGAGCATCTGCAGCAGAGCATGAAGATCCAGCTGGAATGTGAATCCTAACTGACAGAGGCACCGAAACGACTTTGAACCCGCTGTGACTGGAAATCTAAAAAGTCAGATTTCATTCAGCGGGCACAGAGGTCAGTCCATGGAGTCACAGAGGTCAGTTTCTGTGGCGCAGCGGGATTTTGAAACATTGATAACTGAATCAGAGAAAGAAAACCAGGATCTTTCAAACACCAAGGCTCACATCCCACATGACCCTCAGAGAAATAAACTCAACTGTGCTGAAAAAAATTAAACTATGATTCTGCGATGTACTAGAAAATCCTGTTTTGATGTTTCAACTATCACACACACACAAAAACAAGGTTTTGTTAATGTTTTCCAATTTAACTCACCATGCGACCCTGGCTCTGATCAATGGTTGCAACTGCAACCATCCAAAAAAAAGAGAAGAAAAAATAAAGAGTCTCGGAAGGCACAAATAACAGACTTAGCCTGATGGACTTGAGCTGGAAACCAGCAAATTGATAAAAAAAACAAATCTGTTGTTTTCTTTCTATTTGCAACAAACCAGGAGTGTTCAAACAACCATGAAAAGAATGTGCACTTCAGTCAGCGGTGTAAGGGTTTGGAATAAACTCAGCCAAGAACTGAAGCGATGTCCAACCACGAGTTTGTTCAAGAAACGGCTCAGACTGATGATCTTCAACAAGTACATGATCATCTGAGGTGAACCTGAATGGGTGGCTGTCTTTACACTCAGGATTGTACCTATGAGTGTGGTTGTGTGTTCTGTGTGGGTGCATATATGGGGATAGGTCAAGTTGTACTGGGGAGGTAGTTGGAAGTGTGTGGGTGTGTATATGTATATGGGAGTGTGTAGTTGGAGGTGAATGACTTTGGGTGTGGGTTTACAACTCTAGAATTTATCATTGGAGTAATGCTGAATTACTTTCTGCATTGTTTTATATGTATGTGTATATATATATATATATATATATATATATATATATATATATATATAATTGTTTTGTTTCTTTTCTTCCTCTCATGGACTCATAAGACTCGGAAAACCGGATGGGTGTAAAGTGTATAACTATTAAGTATTGGAGAAAGGGTAGGATTAAATGTTTTACTTCTTCCTACCCCTTTTCAGACATGTTAAATGGGATTTGTGTGTGTGCATGTATATGGGTATGTGTACATGGATAAATGTGTGCAGATTGGGATAAAATTATTATTTATTTTTAATTGTGTGTGTGTTCAGTCAAAACAGATGTATTTGCAAATGTGGGTTATTTTGCAAGGGGCTGTGTGTGTTCAAATGTGTGTAAATGTGTAGGTATACATGTATGGATGCACAGACTGGTATTGATGGTGATACACCCTGTGCAGTGTGCAATAGTTGTGACATGTCTGGAATGAATCAATAAAATTAAATAAAATAATGTTTATAGTTGCTTCAGTGGGGGGTAGTTGACAAACTTTGACAAAAGAAGCAATGCAACATTTCAAAAACATCATTCAACAAATGCACCATGCTTACTGTGAAGTAGTGGCCCCGCCATGTCACACCAAGCACAATTCCAACTATTCCCGATCGTTCACATTAGTTCTTTCTTGCATCAACAAACACTGACTGTCCTCTCCTCTTACTGGTGTTTCAGGCTTGTGTAATTCTATTTGTCAAATAAACCCAAAGTTGCTTATATAGAAGCAGAATTTTGTTGATGTGGGAAGCTTGAGAAGATAGCTGAGGGCCCCAGAAACTCCTGCAGCAACATGATCTCGCTCAGATGTCCATTTCCTAGAAGAGGACTATGCAAAATGCAGATTATGTTTGCACGCTTCACGCCTATGTGGGCAGCAGGGTGTGTAGACAGTCACAGAGGGGAGTTAGTGCTTTCCCAAGCAAGGTCAGACCCCCCCTCCTTTAAACTCCTCATGGGTTCCACCGGTGGCCCTTTGGGCAGCTTAGTTTGATGCAGAGTCAGGCAAGCAATTGGTTTATGTGCAGGCTTTGCCGTGGCAGATTTTAAACCTGTCTGTGGGGGAAAGATAGGTTTGGCTTATCACTTTTTTGTGTGTATGGTGCATATTCTATTTGTAAACACCAAAATGACATTTTCTCCTTTTAACATCCAGTTCTCCAGCTCTGACTCGGTCTTTCTTCCCCCACACACATGCGCACATAAAGCGGTAAAGACAAAAGTGTCGGCTTCAGCGAGAATCAAACGCGGCCGTAAATATGGGCAGTCACAGTGGGCTATAAAATGTCAGCCAGTCAGTATACAAACAAAGGAGGCCGCTTTGCACTCAGAAGGCAACGGCTATGGAGCAGCTGGAGGAAAAGAAAAAAATCATAATAAAAAAAAAAAGGAGGACAATCATGCTGTTACATCCCTAACACAAAAAAGCTATTATGTTTCTCTCTTGTGCATGCAAACGTATACATGATCTGATCCACGGTCTGCTGGTTTCAAACCAGAGTGGGTGTAAGTGGGCAGCAAAGTAGAGAAAATCTGGGAATTTGTTGGCTTTTTTTTTCTAGAATGAAAGGCTGAGCAGAATGAATGTTTCTGTTCTCACTGTAATTACGTGTGGTTCTCTGGATTCTAAATATAAACATGCACAAAGTATCTGCAGCCTCTACCTCCTCCTTTGTTCCTGCATTATTTAAACTACACTACAGAAACAGAGTTGCAGGAGGAACAAAAAACTTTAAACCCTGCCACATTAAAATCTAAATTAGGACATTCAAATTTTAGCCCACGGTGCAAATGATATTAAGTAAAAATTTCCAATTAATTTCAATCATCTTTTTATCTGTGCATTCGGTTCAACATGGCATATCTGTAGCTGCCATCACCCTGGAGTATAAGCCCATCTGATGCGAGTTGAAAAGCATTATGATGGATGTGTTCCTATATGGGCTGGGAGATGAGGGGACACCTTAGGGAAAACAGAGCTTGGATGCAAAGCATAAAACTGGAACGATTCTCTAAATTTACTATGTGGGACGTGTCAGGGGGACTAAAACTGTACTCAAGTCTGGCTCATAATCACACCAGCATGCCAAGAAGGATGCAAGAAGAAAGTCTTGTTTATCACTGTGACTTTGCATGGATCAAAATAAGTCTCAAGCTTTTGTTACAATGGGAATTTATAACACGATTCTGACTTCTGCTGGACAATATTTGCCATTACAACCACAAATTACTGAGTCCATGACATGCACAATCATAAAAAAAGCCCTTTTAATTATTTCATTGTCAATTCATAAACCAGTTATTCATTTACACTTCCTGAAAATTGATAATTGATATTTTGTTTTAAATATAGAAGAGTTTCAAACAAAAAAAAGTTAAGTGAGCTTGAAGTTTATAACTTTGTTATTGCCGTGCATATTCATTTTGAAAAATTCTCTCATTTCTAAGGCAATACAAATAAAATATTGAGTCAGTCTTGTCTGGACAGCCTTTAATTATTCTATGTACAAAGAATACAAAACTTTTATTGAAAGGACATACATACAAATTAACTTGATGGCTCTTGGTCCATGTGAGACCCAAAGTAACTAATGACTTCCATTCATTTGTGGTGCATTTTCGTCCACTTGCCAGCTTCTTTGCGACCTTGTTTTAATCCCTGGGGGGGAAAAAAAATACTGTCTTTAAAATACTCTTTATAAATCGGCACATTTATCACCAAAAAAAAAAAAAA